GAAAAATTATTGCCTGGCTAGAATTACATGAAAATTTATTTTATTGTAATGAAAACATATTTATTGTGTTGAGATATTCTAAAATTTTGTACCACTGACATCAGTATATCCTGAGCTATAGTAGAAACTCACCAGCTAATCTTTGTAATGAACTTACTACTTGATGTTATAGCATAAGACATAAAATCCAAAATAAGCTTAGAGTTCCATAGATTATAGGCTAATTTAAAGTCCCCATGTTTCTGTCTATCCAGGTATAATATAGAGAAAGTATTTAAAAATATATTACTAAAATATAATTACTAAATATGATTTATGCTTGAGACCATCTGTAAGCTAAGACAGCCAGAAATCAGATGATGTAGATGCTTTGCTTTGCCTGGTTCATATGTAGAGTCTGGTAGTAAGAAGATACAGCATGATTTTCACTGATGGTACTTAAAAGTCTGCTGGAAAAGTCTTCATTTTTACTTTGTTACTTTGAAATCTGATTAGAAAATTGGTTAACTAGTTTTGCTTGGCTAGTTCTTCACAGTTAAATTAGCATTGTAAAATACATATTGGGAGAATTGTTTAAATACTTGTTAAATGGAAGTGATCATTAGTAGTTATAACCATACATATTTTTCACTTAAAGGGCTAAGTTAATAGAAGCCACTCCTAAGTGATCACCTTGATAGATGATGGAAATGAGAAGGTATAGACCTCCCAATGTATCCTTTTGGTAAAGTTTTATGAGCAAGTTTTCTTGTAACTTCATGGCCATAAGTAACCATGAGAACTCCTTTGAATACATAGAATAAAGGTATTTTAACCCCTGGCCCCACTAAGCTTTCCCAGAACAAATTCTTCAGGAGATTTCAGCTACTTGTTAATATTCTTCAGTAGCCTGGAACAAACAAGAACTCCGTATTTACTGGGTTTTTTTTTCACCCCAAATCATGAAGCAACTAGTTCATAAGGATCTGTCTATTTTCCCAAATATTGGAAACCCACCCCCACCCCACCCCCAGGAGCAAGAAGTTTCAATTTAAAAAGAACTTCTCTTTGCAGAGAATGAATTAATTGCTAGGGAAAAAAAACGTTTGTTGTACATGTATGCATGTATATGTATATTATGCCTGATGGAGGAATGATGTAAGAACTAGGGAAATGTTTGGGAAGATAATAGACAGAACATAATTTCTAGAAGAGAATACAAGATGTGCATCTTCATAAAATTTACATGTGAGAGTAAACAGTATTGCATTGAATGTCATGCTTATAATGGTAAACATTTTAAAAATTAATATTTCCTGTAATATTCTATTACCATGCAGAACTATTAAAATATATTGCTCAAGTAGTAGAGATCCTTTTCTGAAGAAACTTAAGTACTCTAAATAACTATGGGCACATAGCTTACTTGTAATAAAGAACATTAGTGGGGAGGAGAGGAGTTAATTAACTGGGCACTTGATGATAGCTTTCTTATCCAAGGAGTCTTATCACCACCTCCAAGGGCAGTTGTGTAGCTGCAAGACGAATACCTAAATTTGTACAATAATCATTCTAAGAAAAAGGTTGCCTTTAGGCATAGTTAGTTTCTTTATTATTATATAAAATTCCTTTTTAATGCTAAGCAATGTACATTGTCACAATCATTTTTGAGATAAAAGTCCACTACCTCCTGTTGACCCAGGGTGGACGAATGTCAGGGGAATCCCAAGTGAGCACGGAGCACATGAAGAAAAGTAGCCTTTAGACAAACATACATTAGGCAGAAGTGGTTCATCTTTAAGGATAACCCTCCTTGTTCCCAAGAATCACTGGCAGTTATCTCGAAAACTATATTTTAAAAGAATGTATGGTAAAGCATATGAAATATTTCACTAAATCTTAATATGAGACATGTAGGTGAAATATATCTTTTATTACATAATTTCTGTAAAAGAACCTTTATGCTCCAAACTGGTTTACTTTGTTGTCAGTTCCCTCAAGAATATTTAATTTTTCCCTTTGGAATTGCCCATATCACACTGCCCAAGCTACTTGAAGAATATAGTCAGCCTCTGCCAAGTCTATCCAGTAGGATGACAGTTAATGAAAGTAGCCTGCTTTGCTTTTGTTGGGGGTGGGGGTTACATTTCCAAAATGTTTCTTTCTGGAAGGACTTATTTGTGGTAATGCTAATTGCTATTTTAATCTCGTCAAAAATGTGGGTTTTACAAAACACAAAAATAATCTCCTGAAAGTTTGGAAGGAGAGAGGGGCTGTGGTGTGGGGGCGGTCTCTGCTGCCCACGTCCGCCCTCTGTTCAGTGCGTTGTGTGCTTACGGGCTCCCTGGAGCAGATCACCATATAATTGATGTGCAGTCTGCATTGCTGAACCCTGGACTGCACCATTCTGTGTTCAAGGGAAGATGTAATCTGATCCCTCTGCTGCTGAGGGAGGAATCTGTTCAGTCAAGGCTTTGACAGGGCATAGTCTCCTCCAATAATCTTGTGGGTTCTCGCTCATTATTCCCCGAGTTCTCCTCAGTGGAGCTGCATGCGTGTGTGCGTCCCGAGCAGCGTTCTGGTTCTGAGCTGCGTCTGCTGGTGCTGGGGAGTTTTGCTGCCGGTTCCGCTGCCTAATCTTCCTTTTCTGGCGTGCCTGAGCATGTCCACGTTAGAATCTGTGACATACCTACCTGAAAAGGGGTTATATTGTCAGAGACTGCCAAGCAGCCGGACACACGGGGGCACAGAATCCCTGAAGGGGAAAAATACAGAAAATATGGGTTTCTACGGCACATTAAAAATGATTTTTTACAAAGTAAGTAATCTGTTTTCTTCCTGTGCTGTGTGGTTGTGTGTGTGCCTGCCTGAGAAGGAAAATCTGTATCATCAGAGATGGCTGCAGTATCCTCTAATTTTGGTGGGTGGTTGGATGTCTGGTATTCTGTTTTATTTCATGACTGTTGTAAGCGAGTATGGAACGGTGGTATGAGCTGGGAGAAGCTTTAAAATAAAATGTGTATTTCCATCTGAGAATTTTTCACTGAAAATGTATCTCAGACTTGAGAAATGTAGCTCCGTTAAATGCTGACCTGGAAATACTCACCCTCACTTGGCTTCCGTGAACCTTTCTGTTGAGTTTTCCTGTACCATAGACATACATATGTGTTCATTAGTTAACTCTTGGAGTGTAGTCACTGAAATGTGTGGGGTTTATGTTTGAAGAGGTTTGACTACTTGCGGTATCTTAAAAAATGTACCCAATGAATTTTTGGTTATAAAGTCAGTATTTTCAGTTAACATTACAGTATCTAAAAGATTTCCATAGTCATTCAGAAGATGCTTTGTTTTATAAAATAATTTAAACATAAACCCTTCTCAGTGAATTCCTTGATATATGCTTTAAATATTATATTCATTGAAAGATTCTAGATGGAAATAAAGTTTGCTTTTAGTGACAATTAGATGTCATTTGTACCAGCATATTTACAAGGCGTTCTGGGAAGTTCTGAAAGCCAGCATTACTGACTTAATTCAAATGAGTATCAGAGATTCTCATAATGATCATGAAAGTCATCTGTGAAAGTTATCAAGTTCTGTAGTGGCTGACCTTCCTGATGGATTCATTTGCGTATATGTACATATCTGTGTATCTGGGAATTCTACACGTGGAAGCACATGGCTCCCTATGTATTATATTATTTGTTTTCTGATAAGATTATTTACAAAGAGAAAGAAATAATATATTTTGGAGATTGTCTTTTTAAAATGAAGTGAATATAGAAACTTCCAGAGGGAAGAAAGGCCAGTTCTATTCCCCCCGTAGGTATCTCATGAACTGAGGTATAAATTGTGCATAAGCTTCTTGAACCATCACAGCCGCAGATGAACCAGTGTTGAATAGGAGACTTTCTTCATGATGATGACAAGTCCTTGCTATCCCATCACAGAGCTTGAATCTTTTTAGTATTTACAGTGTAAATACTATGTTCCATGTGTTCCTATGTGAAGCAGTAGGTCGGGAAATGAACCTATTGTAAAATAGGGGTTCCAGCTTACTATAAAAATGAAGATAGCTATCTCCCTGTAACACACGTATGTGCAAATCCAAGAGAAGCTGTTGAAGTAGGAAAAGTTGAACCTTAACAGATTTTATTTTGTAGCTTTGAAATAAACATATACTCAGATGACCTATGTTAATTGTTAGTGAAATACAAAAATAAATATTTCAATATTGACATCGACAAATGAAATTTTGAATGTATTGATAGCACAACATGGCATAGTGAGAAACCTTTAAGATGTGCGTGTTGGACATGTCTTACATATCATATGTCTCAGTCATAAGTCATTCTCTTAGAATCCTTTCGTTGTTTCAAGAGTTATTTTGTCCTAAGTATGGGCTGCGTATTCTGTATATAGCAGTTGATGATTTTTTCCCTCAGCTTTATTGTAGCAGATACAGATTGTCTGCTGTTAGTGATTTACTCTTTTTAGCTATCTCTGTTCTCCTTGCTAATTGCTTTCTTCTTTATCTCAATCACTATTCAAGATTAGCTTATTTTGCTCTCTACCTTTGTATAATGAAATGAATGTTTAAAATTCAGTTATTGATATTTCTGGTTGTGAAATTTTTAATTTTTTATCTTAAAATATTTTTAAAGAAAAATGAAGATTAGTAAGGAAGACATACTAAACATGATTCTTTTCTATGTGTGCTAATAATTTTTTCTTGTTATTAAACTGAAAAATGAAAAGTATATAACATGCTAAGGGCATGATGAATATTAGTTTCTCACCAAGCACTGTTCTTCCCACAGAATACTAAGGGAATATTACCTATCCAGTCCATAAGAGTAAAGCAAATAGGAAAAAACTGTAGTATATTTTCTGATTAACCTACCAATAATCATCATTGTAGGCACATGAAAATTTAACAGTTTTTGAATATTAGCATGCAAACTCAAAGTCTGATAATGGACCAAGTAATTTTTTTTAATTTTATCTGTTTTACTTTATAGATGAAAAGAAAGTTGGACCATGGTTCTGAGGTCCGTTCCTTTTCTTTGGGAAAGAAACCATGCAAAGTCTCAGATTATACCAGGTAACGTTGAACAGCGGGGAGTAGGCGGGCATGCCATCTGAAAACATTGCTTTGCATTTGTTTTTGAAGAATAACAGTGCTACTGTATTCAGTGTTGTTGGTTGTTCTAATGTGTTTTGATGTTATAGAAATGGGGAAGGGCATCAGTCTAAACCCAAGCAGAAGGGCTGGCACTGCCCATGTTGGACTTTCTTCCTAGTACTCTGATAGGAGGGAGACACATGCTGAAGTTCTTTAAACAAGATTTCAAAGTCTCAATTTTAGGGACTTCTAAACAGTAAACCCTGAGATCTGAATGTGAGAAAATGTCTCTAGTTACTATAGCAACTGCTGTTTTAGGGTAGATACTTTCATATACCAAATCGAAGATAAATTTATTAGCAGTGAAGTAAATCTCCCAGTTACTAACTAAATCTTACATTCATGGAATGAATGTGTTAGAAATCCCCATTTATTGGCGCGATGGGTTTTATGTTTTAACACATACATTTCTACACTTGTAGAATAGTTTCCATAACAACTAAGTACAATTGTAGTCTTGTTCCCTGCTTCACTCCATCATTTTTGGATTTTCCGTCAGTATAAAACTTTGCCCACTCTCACGCTAATTAGGCTAATATCTCATTTCCCAGCCAATTAAAAATGGCTTTGGATGTCACTTGAAATGCTGTATTTTAACATTTAAATGACAAAAGTATCTAAGAACGCTGTGGTCCCCTCCCCCACTCTTGAATAATTGTCACTTTAATTGAATAACTGGTCAGAGTGAACAGTAGAAATTCTAAGGACATTATGGTTAGGATCTTTTTTTTCTTAAAGCATTTTGATTTAGTTATTTTTATTCTATGAAACAGAATAAAATTGCCATTGCCTCTATACAAGGTTTTCTAAAACATCATTACAGATTGTCACCTTCCCCCCAACACAACATACAGTTTGTTTTCATTTCATTCGATTGTGGAAATTTATTTAATATTCCTGTGTACTATTAAGGAATCATACTGCTTAGAATAATTTTAGGTACAGAAAACTTTGGCGAGGTGATGTCAAGGAGATGAAGAAGCTTCGTTCTCCGTTCAGCCCTACTCCCCTCCTCTCTGCTGTCTGACAGTTTCACTGTTGGGCGCTTCCACCAGAGGGTGTGGAGGGATAGAGAGACAACTAAAATGTTTCTTTCATTTTGGTTTTCCTTCCAACCTTGATAATATATTTCTCAGATGAGAAAGTTGAGTTTGATGTCAAATTAATTGTAAATGTAATTTTTTTAATGCACAAATTTCAGTCAGTCCACATTATTTTGGATTTCTGTTAAAGACAATACCATAACAAAAGTATTAAATGATCAATTGTTTTAGAATGGAATTTTTGGTACAGAACACATTCTCATAAAATTTTAGTTGCTTGTTTTGATATCGAGATAGCAGCAGCCTTTTAACAAGGAATCGTACTAAAGCAGAATTAGAGCCAATACATATTTATTTCCATGTCTTTGAAACAATTTTGTCAGTTACTAACATATATGTTTGATATTCAGTAATGATTTTGACAGGTTTTTGACAGGTAGTAAGATGAAACTCATTTTGTATTCTCCTGCCTCCTTAGGCGATTTTAACTATTAACACAGCTTGTTTTATTTTGGAGAAAAGGAAACTGAATTTGCTTTTGAATTTGAGCGAAGGAAAGATTGATTTATTTGTTGAATATTAGAGATTGTCATAAATGAATAAAAGATTCAAAGGATGCAAGCATAAAGATTTTTCTATAAAATAGCAATTTGGATATCATTTAAAAAATTAAGACTTGCTTCATTAGCAGTTTGTCGGAGGTTGAAAATCAGTTGTTATGGTACAGTTTACATGTACTCATTGTGTTTCTTTTTTAATCCTTTTTTTTTTGGTTTTTGGTTTTTTGTTTGTTTGTTTGTTTGTTTTTGTTTTGTTTGTTTTTTTGAAACAAATTCACTGTAACCCAGCCTGGCCTAGAATTCACTATGCAGCTTGCCTCAAACTTGGAATAATCTTTCTATCTCCTCCTCAGGTGCTCTGATAACAGATGTGAGCTGACTGCTCTTTGGATTTAAAACACTTTATTATCATAGTTCAGTGAGCTGAGTATTCTTCCACAGATATAATTTTGTTGAATGTTAATACCACCTGTAAGGCAGAAATGCTTGCATTACCTGGCTTGAGGTGCTTGAGCCAGCTTAGAGGAGCCACCAGTGTGTGTGTGTGTGTGTGTGTGTGTGTGTGTGTGTGTGTGTGTGTGTGTTCTTCCTGCTCTTAGGTAGCAGGGATACAGTCTTAGGGCTAGTGCAGAAGCACCATACTTGATTCTGAGTTTTTCTCTTTATTGTTTTTCATTATTTTAGAGTTAAATTATTGGATAAGAATGTTTCAGTTACCTCTTCTAATTTTGTCTAAAAGTTCTCTACACTTTTTTTTTGAAAAACTATGCCTCATGAAGGCTATTACCAGACACCTAGGCTCAGCTTAATAAATGACAAAATTAGCAGTGGATAAAATATCATAATTTTAATGCATCTGGGGGAAGCTTAAGGACTTATGTATAAGCAGTGAAATCCAAAATATTTTTATCTCTGAAATATTGATAACATTAATACTTTCATACTTATTTTTACAAAGAAAATCTAAACTTAAACTGGGTGCTTGAAGACCAGTCATGGAAGTAGGAGCTGTATGTTCTTAGGCCATGTTTGTTTGCTTGCATGCTTAGTCATGTGCTCACTTATGGTTAGGGCTGGACCTGGCCTGTGTCTACTCAGCCTGTTCATTATTACTAATTGCACCTGGAGCCCTAAGCAAATACACTAGCAACTTAGAAGTTTGTCATAGAGCCTTCATTTGGTTGCCAGTAGCATCGATGGGATGATGATAGGGAAGGAACTTCAGTGATTGATGATGATGATGATGATGATGATGATAAGAGGAAGAGGAAGAAGGAGAAGAGAAAGAGGAAGAAGAGGAGGAGGGAGAGGAGGAGCCAAATGTGGTGGCACAGGCCTATATTTCCAACATTGAAGAGTTTGAAGTAGGAGGATTATGAGTTTAAAGCTAGCCCGGGTGACATAGTAAATTTGATGCTAGCCTTGACTACATCGTAAGACCATCTGCAGAGCAGGAGAAAAAGAAGAATAGCTAACTTGGCTTTGTGTGTTCCTGCCCTCTGAGGGTAGCCACCAAAAGAGATTGCTATGCTGATGTTTGAAGAACACCAGATCGTTATTCCAACTAAATTAGAGTTCATAGTTTTTAATTAAGACCTTTCTTTGCTTCCACTCTTATACCTAGGGTCAGCTTAATAAAAATTAAAATTAATTAAAACTAGCAATGGATAAAATATTGTAAATAATTTAAAATGCATCTGGGGCAATCTTAAGGACTTATGTGTAAGTGGGAAATCCAAAAATATTTTTATCTCTGAAATATTGGTAACATTAATACTTTCATACTTTTTATTTTATTTTTTATTTTTAGTACCACTGGGCTTGTACCATGTTCAGCAACACCAACAACTTTTGGGGACCTGAGAGCAGCCAATGGGCAAGGGCAGCAACGACGGAGGATTACATCTGTCCAGCCACCCACAGGCCTCCAAGAGTGGCTGAAAATGTTTCAGGTGACTATGTGAACACACTGTTGAAATGCTTCACTCAGTTGCTTGGGGACAGGGTGGGAATACAGAAATATTTGGCCACTAACAAAAAAAGGAGTGTATCTGATGCTGTGAGTGTTGGAAACATTGGACTAAGTGAAAGAAGCCAGATGTAAGAGGAAACATTTATTAATAAAAAGAGATAAAAAGTAGGTTAGTGGTTGCCAGGTAGGAAGCGGAGAGGCCTGGAGCTCTGCTAAGAGATGTAGGGTTTCTTTTCGGGAGGGTGATAGACGTGTTCTAGAGCTGGGTAGGGTTGTAGTCATCGAGAGAGACAGGCATCCTGGGAATCCCCTAAGTGTAAACTTAAATAGCACTCCTGTTATATGATATACATCTTCTAAAAGGAAAGTACAGTACATATTTTGTGTAAGTGTATATTTACATGTCTTTATTGCTTTTTTAAATAAGGCCTTTATTTTCTTGTTTGTGTTTGGGCTTTTGTGTTGTTGAATGTATTCTTGTTTTCTGAACACATTTCTTGTATATTAGGAAGGTGAGGTTAATTTAAGAAGTCCATCAGTGAGTCACTGGCATTGGTAATTTAGCATCCACTGCTTCCCTGGTAGAGGTGACTTAGTGGTTTCTTTCATTGCCTTGCTTGCAGATGCCTTGTGTTTGTTCAACTTCTAACCACTGTCTTTTCTAGGATTTAAGCTCTTTGAACATGTACTGGGGAGATTGCCTTGAATACTGTGGATTTTTATCATTTAAGTTAGTTTGATTGTCTTATCTCTTCTTACTGTGAATGATAGACTAAATCAAGAGCATACCAATACAGCTGTCATAGATGAAATACTCAACAGATTTTCCAGACAATAATTAATACAAATATGAACATGCTTGATGCTACCCACTACATTAATGTAAAATGAATACCTATAATATAAAATTTTACTACCTCTGGCTGCTTGAATTGTTGGGTTCGTAATGCACACATAAGGAAATTACAAATGTAAAAGATGTGTCAGCTCTGTCATTTCAAATATTTAAGAAGTCCTGTTGTATAAATCCTAATATTTTAATATTTTAAATACTTAGATGCTGTGTGTGTGTGTGTGCGCGCGCGTGTGTGTGTATGTGTATATGTGTGTGTGTATGTATGTGTGTATGTGTGTGTGTGTATTTACTTTTGTCTATTTTTTTTACTTGAAGTGGTGTGCTTTTAGATGAATTTTAAGATTGTTTTGTGGGACAGGCCAGATAGGTGTGGAGCTCTGGTTCTCAGTAGGGTTTGTTTTTTTCCCCCTAAATAATAGGGGAGTGGTTGGATCCTTTTGATGTTTAGTATGTAAAAGCATTATGAAGGATAGCCTCCAAAAACAAATAATTATCCAATCCAAAATATCATAGTGCTAAGTTTAAGAGTCTTGGGATTAAACAAATGGAAGCTACATTTTACTTAAGAAAATGTTGTGAACACTACAATCACAAAGAATGTTTTTAATGTTTATAGATGTATTGATTAAACTCACCTTTCCCATAAAGATTACTACTCCCCCATTTTTTAACTCAAATTTATGACATTGATTTCATACATATGCCCCGCGAATTCTCAACTTTTTATTGTGTCCAGTCCTTTAGAAATAAATGAAGCCTAAAATAAAAATCTAGACTCTGTTTAAAAGAATATTTAAAATATTAATATCTCATTAAGCCAGGGAAACGGTAGGAATGACAGTGTGTTCTCCCCCATGCACGTGAGTATGTAGACAAGCCAACACCCAGAGTCCAGTGCTGGTGTCTTAACTGGGTACTGAAACCAAATGGAATCTCTAGTGCCCATCTAGACAGCCCTCAAAACTGACTGGAAAAGAAGCTTGTTGGCAGACTATTCCAAATAAGGGTTTTGTGTATGGTTAGGCCCATTTTCCCACAGCATTTTAATGTACCAAAATATTTTTTGTAAGCCATTTATGATGTTCATTAAGAGAACTTGTTCTAATATTGATCTGCAGTGGGGGTATCAATGCTTTCTTTTCATGAGGCCATTTTAGAGAGCCCTTTATATAGTGCTTGTTTAATAAAATTTCCAAATGTTATACAGCTCAGTTTTAGAAGTGTTAACTGTAAAAGTAAAATCAGAACACCCAACTGTAAGTCTGTAAACCCATTTGGTCCTGTAAAAATCATATGAGTAGTTACAGGTGAGAGAGCCCATTCTTTTATTTATTCACTTTACATCCCAATCGCTGCCCCCACCACCAGTCTCTCCCTACCTCCCTCTCCTTTTCCTCTGAGAAAATGGAGCTCCTCCCTCTGCCCCCACCCCTAGCACATCAAGTCTCTGCAGGGCTAAGTGCTTCTTCTCCCACTGAGGCCAGACAAGTTAGCTGAGTTGGGAACAGATTCCACAGGCAGGCAACAGCTTTAGGGGTTAAGGATTGAGGGTCTTGATGGGGATAGGAACCTTGGGGTTCTCAGAGACTGAACCACCAACCAAAGAGCATACAGGGTCTGGACCTACACCTCCACCACACACATAGCATAAGTACGGCTTGATCTTCATGTGGGTCCTGAACAACCGGAGAGAGCTCATTATTAGTTCATAGAAATAATGTAGACTTAACCCTGCAAGTAAAAAACGTAATATCCCTGCCCCAAAGACATTCTGTAGCAACTAAAGGCCAGCCTGACAAGGTAGATCTGACCTTACTCTTCTGAGCTCCAAGTCTGTCTCTGACATAACCCAGGACTCAGTTCCATGTCTTAGCTAGGGTTTTATTGCTGTAAAGAGACACCATGACCACGATAAAGGAAAACTTCTATTGGGACTGGCTTATAGTTTCAGAGGTTTAGTTCATCATCATCATGGTAGGAAACATGATAGTATGCAGGCAGACATGGTGCTGGAGAGGGAGCTGAGAGTTCTCCATCTTGATCTCCAGCCAGCAGAAGGAAACTATATGCCACACTGGGCATAGCTTGAATAGATAAAACTTCAAAGCCCAAAGTGACACACTTCCTTCCAGCAGGCCACGTCTCCTAATAGTGCCACTCACAGCCAAGCATTCAAACACATGAGTCTGTAGGAGCCATTTTCCACATTGTTGTACTGGCTGGTTTTGTTTCAACTTGACATAAACTAGTGTCATCAGAGCAGAAAGGAGCCCCAGTTAAGGAAATGCTTCAGTGAATCCAGTTCTAAGATATTTTTTCTATTAGTGATCAGTGAGGGAGGGCCCAACCTGTTGTGGATGGTGCCATCCCTGTGCAAGTAGTCCTGGGTTCTATAAGAAAGCAGGCTGAGCAAGTCAGTAAGTGGCACCCCTCCATGTCCTCTGTCAGCTCCCACCTTTAGGATTCTGCTGTTTGGGTTCCTGTCCTGACTTCCTTCAATAATGAACAATATGAAGGTGTACATATTGAAGGTGAATTGAACAATATGAAGGTGAATAAAACCCTTCCCTCCCCAACTTGCTTTTTGGTCATACTGGTTTGTCACAGCAATAGAAACTAAGACAACTCTGGCTTTTTGTTGTTGTTTTGGTTTTGTTTTCTTTTGTTTCAAGGCTGGTACCAAAATAACTAGAACTCAATCACTTGCCTAGAGGCTTATGATGCTTCAGTGCCAATCTTATAGACAGCCACAGCTTCACAGCAAAGTAGGGTGATGTGAGCTGACCTATGAGGGATAATTAGACTGTCAGTGTTTCTACAGATCTGTGGTTGGGGCATTTAATGATGACGTCCCTGTTGTGTCACAAGCACAGTGGGAGCCCTTGTCCTCTTCCTGCTCCTCTTCCTACTGCTCCTAAGGCAGTGCTACAGCTTATCTGTCCTGACAAAGTACTCCATGTGCAAATTGAATAAGAACAAACGACACACCACTGTAGATAACAGCCTCTTAATGAAAAACAGAAATGTAAAACCAAAGACAAAAGCAAAAAAAACAAACTTTGCACTGTTTAAATTGATTCAACTTTTCAATGGCCAAAGTTTCTTTTTTTCTAAACCCAGAGGGACAAGGTTTGTTTGATTATTTATGTAATTTGGGAATTAGCATATGGTTTTTCACTTTAAAATTTGAGAATAGTAAAGACACTAACAGAATTGACCTTTTATGATTCAAAGGCATCGTAGAAGGGAAACATACTAACTAGATGAAAAGCTCTTACTTCAAATTTTGGATTTTTCTCTTAACTAGTGGGCAGCTTTATTATGAGACCACTCTTCCCTTTGTTTGCATATTGCTTAAAACAGATATTACACTGAAAAGTATCCAAAGGGGAAAGTATGTACATGTGTGTACAACTCTACATGGAAGTACAACAGAGTCGGTAAATGTCAGTCTCCTCCAGTGGTCCAGACACAGCTTGTAGAAGGGCCTGTCAGTACGAGCTTCACATAGGATTCTGAGGGACAAAGGTGAAATGTGGGCAAAGAGCTTTAGCATTATACAAGTGTCCTTGCACTTTATCAATGCAGATTTGCATTCCAACTGTGTGTTTTGGAAAGGTCTGTTAGACTTAAAACAACAGTGAACTAGAAAAAATACGTCTGTTTTGATATTTATAATGAATAAAATCTATATGGAAAGATTTATCAAGTTCCATGCTAAGTCAAATTACATATGTCTTCTGACTTGTTTTTCTTAAGTCTCGTTGGTAACAGAAGATTAAAACCTATAAGAAAGGTGACAAAACAAGATGAGTTTTTTGTTTTTTTGAAATTATACTTGTTACAGCATGATTAAGGAAGCTTACTAAACCTTGTGTGATGAAGTTGAAGAAATTTATGTACTTACTCAGGGAAGACTAGAGGAAAGTTCTTTATTTAATATAGTCCAGAACCTTACATCAAAATAAAAACAGATTGAGCCTTGGGATCTTTAGAAAGTAATACCTAGATCTCGTTTTCTGAGTTGGATTGTGAAGCTGTTTGAACTAACAAGAACTGCCCACAGGAGAGGCTGAGAACTGTTCAAATAGAAATGGGTGAACTGGGTGTGGTGGCTCAAGCCTGTGATCTCCATTGCAAGACTGTGTTTCAAAACAGCAGTCAGGTAGACCGTCTGCCCTGCTTAGGTTCTAAAGAAGTGAGTTTTCTATGTGAGTTCAGGCTCAGTGCTGCCCAAGATCTTAAAACCTTGTGCCTGATTGGAATAGTAAGCACACCTATCAGTGTTCCCTCATGCTGATTCATGAATCACCTGCATCAACATTGAATGAATTGCTTGTATAAAAAAAAATAATCAGCCGGGCATATTGATGCACACCTTTAATCCCAGCACTCCAGAGGTTGAGGCAGGCAGATTTCTGTGAATTGGAGGCCAGCCTTGTCTACAAAGTGAATTCCAGGACAGCCAGAGAGCTACACAGAAAAACACTCTATTTTTTTTTTGGAAGAGGGAGGGTCTCCTTCAAGTAAGTTGTGGTATCCTGCCAGTTTTGGGAATCACTGTGCCAGACCAAGTCTCTTATGGAGGCTTAAGGCTGTAAGTAGAAGAGGGACTCTGCCTGGGAAGTAGAATAGAAGAACAAAGATAGGAAGCTTGAGACCATTCGGAGATCTGAACATCATAATCTAGAAGAAATGCTGGTAGCTCAGCTGCTACAATAACAACTAAGTCTTAGATATATTTTGAACTTCTTGGATTTATTTGTCTCTGAGCCTCCTGCATCTACATTCTGCTTTCAAATGCTTAATTAAAATTGCAGTTTTGTTGAGTCAGCATAGTTGTCCATCTCCGAAAATGGCCTTGGCCATGATATTGTCTACAGATTTCTTGTAATGTGAAAATAACCAACATACTATTAAAAAAAATTCAAATTCTGTGAGGGATATGAGTCAATAAATTGTAATTTTAAATTATTTATACTTTATGGTCAGTGATGAATCAAAATTGACCACATTGTCAAATGGGCAAAATCTGAGGCAATGCCTGTTAGTGCTGTGGGGTCAGACAAACAGTCCAGTGCTTTGACTCCTGTGTGGGGCATTCTATGTGTTACATTTCAAAGCTGTGCGTGTAGATCCTGTCTGAGCAGAGTCCTTGAGGTCAAGTGAATGTTTTAACCGTTGTATGTGCAAGTGAAAGGAGACCACTGACTTACTGGAGCCCTGGTTCCTTACGTTGGCAAAGTGGAGTAGGTCACAGACACAGTTCAGTGCTGACTGGTGTTCCATAGTGCTCACATCACTGCACACCCTAAGGGACAAAATACCTCTTGAGTTATTCTGAGTGCCGCTTCCTGCGAGCCTTAACATAGCTCAGTCTTTGTGTATCTTACAGCTTATGGAGTCCAAGTGCAAGTATTAGAGGAAGGGTCATACCTTGTCTGTTATTCTTTATTCATCTGTGTCCAAAATGGCGGACAGTCCCCAGAGGTGTTATCATCAAAGGCCTGTGTTGATATGCTTTCACTTAACAGTTATGAAGTTACTTAAATGTTTTACGTGGTGATGGCAAAGTTCCAACATTTTAGATTATTCATATGGCCTTAAATTTGTTCCTTTAAAGAGCCATGGTTTTTCTAAGCAGTCATGCTTACTGAGGGAAAATATTAAAAACAAGCAAACAAAAAGAATTTTTTAAAGGAACTCATATTTTTGAAGTATAGTACATGTGTTCTCATTTTTCATAAGTACAGCATTTTTTCTTGGTCTTTGTTTATATTCTAATTTTGCAATATTAACTCAGCTAATCTTTTCTATTGCTTGCTGTTTGTTATCTATAATTTTTATAAAGTAGGACATTTTTTTAAAGTTTGTAGAAGATACTTGTCAGATATGCAGAATAACCAGCTATTAATTTTTTATGTTGCAAATCTCTTAGCTCTTAGATGAAAGCCTTATTCAAGCCGTAAAATTTTATGGCTGTCCACTAAAAAGAATATATAGAGAAAAATGATCTATCAAAATTCCCTATTTATTCAATAATCCAGATGGATATTTCTGGAACAAGATTTTTGTGTCTCCCAGTGTCTTGGTGTTAGATGAATGCATAACTCTTGTAATTAAAAATAAATGCAGACTTTGTTTTTTCTGCTAGTCATGGCTTTTAATGCTTTGTGGGAAAGGTACAGAGTATACCTGTTGAAACTAAAAACTGCAGTCGCTTCAGTGGCTTCTGGAGACAAGGTCCCTGTTCATGGTCTCTTTCATGCCATTCCACTGCTCAAACATGGCCATGCAGGTGCTTGTGGGTCTTGTGTGTGAATTTGTAATTTGTCCGATTCCTCTCTTGTAGAGCTGGAGTGGACCAGAGAAGCTGCTGGCTTTAGATGAGCTCATTGATAGCTGTGAACCAACACAAGTGAAGCATATGATGCAAGTGATAGAGCCCCAGTTCCAGAGAGACTTCATCTCCTTGCTCCCTAAAGAGGTGAGTAAGGCCGTCAGCTGCACGCGCATGGGTGCTGCCGTAGTACATAACCACCGCCTGTAAGCAGTGGCCTGCCCATTATGGTTTGACACTTTGACAAACTGCTATGGCTTTTTGGTACAGTTGTCATATAAAGTGCATTCAGACCAAGGTACTGCTTTCTTCCGCTTGGATCAAGTAAAGGTTCATGTGAGAGTCACTGAGTTTCTTCAAGGATTTTTCCCTAGGTTATCTAAAGGCTGACTTTAGTTATTTGGATATGTTTATTGTTTATAGTGAATGTTTTCAAAATTCTGGATTCGTTAAGCAGCAATACTATTTTTGTTTTTATTTTGTTATTTAATGTCCCCTCAAGACCAGTAATTTTATAATTGTTGTATGTCTCTGGTTATTACATTATGTAATTTTTTAATATATAGAATTTTACCTATATGTCTTTGTGGCATTTCTACTAATCATCCCCCATCAGAAAGAGAAAGAGAGAGGGAGAGATAACATAAAAATTATATTCTTACAGCACTAATCATACAGACATGTGTGGCTTATAGTTTAAATATAATGCATGTATTGACATTAGACTTCATAGCTTAATTTTTATCAATAGAAAGGAATAATGTGATATTAAATAGTATCCTTATGGTCTATATTTTCTCAAATTACTATTCACATATTATAAATATAAAAAAAGATAGCACAGAAAAACTAGCACATCATTCATACAGATGATCCTGAAACCTCAAATTTAAACAGAAAGAATTTTGCCTTCTCTTTTTTTTTAGATAATCACTCTAAATTCCTAGTGGCATTAAATATAGTCCTAGTTGTAACATGGCATTAGATTTGAGAAAAATCAATGAAATGAAGCATAAATGGGGAAAAGCAAAATTGATAAAACATCTTTTTTTCCTGGCAATTTTTCCCCTTTGGAGTACTTTTTAAAAATGACATTGTCCCAGAAGAAAAGTGTTTATTCTTGAGAGCTTTTTCTACTACAGAACTCTTTGAATAAGCTTATGAAAGTGACATGAGATCTCTTTGCTTCCATCAGGGCATAAAATAATAGGGAACATCTTTTGCGAGTGGAGTGAATATTCATCTTGATTATTCTACATGCCTGATACCCTCCTTTAGAATATGTATATGTATAGTTTGTGCATGTGTTCAAGTGGGCGTACATGTGTACATGCAGATGCTCCTGCACACATGTGTCTATGGAGGCCAGAGTTGTATTCCTCAGTTGTTCCATGTTATTTTTTGAGATGTGGTCTGTCACTGAATCTAGAGCTTACCCATTCAGCTAGGGTGGCTGGCTGTCCAGTGAGCAGTGACTATAGCTAGAACTGCTGTGCCTAGCTTTTTACAAGACTGCTGGGATCCAAGCCCTTATCTTCATGATTACACATGAAATGTTATTGACTGAGCCATCACCAAGCCCCAAAATTGGCAAGTGTTTTAGAATTTAAGAAGTAAGCACAGATGATAAAGCCCCAAAAGATTTTCTTGGCTTCCATGTTCTTTTAAAGACTTCTGAAGAAAAAAGAAGTTAGGAAGGAGAGAGCCCTAGCTTAGCATATCAGCTATGGTTTTGTTTCCAGCTACTGGGGTGTTCTTTATTTGGGAATGCTTTGTGTCTATGTAGAAAAATAATGGCATAGACTTAACCCTGTAGGGAAGTACGTTATTTAAAACATTATTACCATATTGACATGAAATGTACTTGTATTGTTTTGATAATTGGTATGAACAATCTCAAGTCTCTTAATTAACAATCTCAGGTCTCTACATTAGGTTATCTAAGAGCTTGAGCACTAGGCTCACAGAGAAACTTGTGATAAGTGCCATTACTCTCATTTTGTAAGAAAATACCAATAAAATCACAGGTCACCCAGAATAAAGCCTCAGATTCCTAATAAGAGATTAATGAGCATTTTCTTTGTCCTTAAAATACTGCTTTTCTTGATTCATTCAGTCCACTGAAATACAGCAATCCTAGCAAGATGCTCATCCTGTGTAGAGTAACCTTTTTTTCTGTGATTTTTTTTTTTTGAAGTGTGAGTATGCCTTCCTTATTTTCTTTTCCATAGTTGGCACTCTATGTACTTTCATTCCTGGAACCCAAAGATCTGCTGCAAGCAGCTCAGACTTGTCGATACTGGAGAATTTTGGCTGAGGATAACCTTCTCTGGAGAGAGAAATGTAAAGAAGAGGGTAAGTTCAGAATCGCAGAGACGATGTGGTTCTACTCTGTAGGAGTAAAGAATTCTGGAAACAAGTTGACAAAATAACTTTTCTGTGCAGTGAGAATAAATGGCTGGCTTGGTGGTGCCTGCCAGAGTGAGTCTGCATCTGTTCACTTCCTTGATCCCAACAGGAAAGGAGGAAACCACAAATCCGCAGCTAAATACCCAGATAATTGAGTATTGTGTCCACTCCTCCCATAAACACTTACTATGCACCTCCTGTGAGCTGAACATTCGTAAGTGCTGGGGAGATGGTACTGTTTCATCATGATCTTCCTGTTGTGGACCTTATATTCTTGAAGTATAGTTTAGTTTGGTTTCAGAGGGAGGGTCTTTTGTTTTGTAAGGAGGTATCTAGAAATGTCATCATTTAGAAAAAAACAGTTGTTTCTGAGGAACAAAAATGCTTGAGGGCAGGGAGGGGGAGTGGTCACACTCTATCCTATAGATTAGGCTCCCTTCGCAGTTATGTGGCCAGGTAGAGAGAGCACTGACTAGTGAGGATTAGTAAAGACTTAAGGGTAGGATCTCAGGTGCTTCTTTCTAAGCCTGGTTCTGCAGTCAATGTCTAGCTGCTACTGGATTAATTGGTAAAATTCTTTTCTCAAGTGTCTTTTTCTGTGTACCAGGATTAATCAACTGCCTTACCTTCTTTCTCAGAATATTTTTCCCCCTTGAGACAGGGTGTCTCTAAACAGACCAGGCTGCCCTTGAACTCATGATGTTCCACCTTCCTCTGCCTCCTGAGTACTGGGATTAAAGGAGTATGCCACCGTGCCTAGCTTCAGAGTCCTTTTTAAATGTCCTCTTAAAAAACTGTATTTCATCAAAATGATTCTGAACAGCTTGGTTTACATAGCAGGTATCAGGGCAGCCCAGACTGTGTTCATTGTACTCATACCACTTGGGGGACAGACAGGGTTGCTGAAAGCTAGAGGCCATCTTGGTCTGCATAGTAAGCCATTTTATTGAGTATGATGCAGTGATATTCTCCCCATTCTTCCATTCCTGTTGCCTACATGCTTTATAAGTTTACTGTTGTAGAAAACTGTGATAAGTAAAATTATAGAGCATTTGCCCTTTTGAAATTTCCTTATTCACTCAGCAAAATGCCTTCAAGGTTCACATCACAGCATGTATCCACGTGCCCTCTGTTAAGGCGAGCAGCATTCGTGTGTGCACTGCTGCCCTTGGTGTTCCATCTGTTGAAGGACACCTGGACTGCTGCATGCTTTCCACTGTGAGCATGGGTGTGTAGATAACTGTTCATATCTCTGCTTTGCTTCCTTTTGCATATACAAGCAGAATTGAAAGTCCCGAATCCTGCACTATGTTTGCATTTTTAGGAGTCACTGTACTAATTTCCACAGCAGTTCATACACATTCCCTACTTTGTATGTCCATACCAGCACCTCTCCTGTCACTGTGAGAGAGAAGGGGGTAGTGAGACCAAACCACTATACCAAATGTAGGCTCACTGCTACACAGAACAGTATTGGGGTAGTGAGGGCAGACCTGGTGCCAGAATTGAAGAGTCTGTTTCACTGGGGTTAAGCAGAGAAAGCAAGACCTTTATAAAAGATGTGTAATTTGTATTAGTGGTAAAAGGAATTATTCTCTTGAACTCTTTGATACTTTAGGGATTGATGAACCATTGCACATCAAAAGAAGAAAAATAATAAAACCAGGTTTCATACACAGCCCATGGAAGAGTGCGTACATCAGACAGCACAGAATTGATACCAACTGGAGACGAGGAGAACTCAAATCTCCTAAGGTAACAGACTCTTGACGTGCTAACGAACCTTTCATCAGTAACAGTGCCTGTTCTCTTCACTTGTCGGCTGCAGGGGAACTCAGCACCTACCTTCTATGGAAAGAAAGCGGCTGTATTTCAAAATTAACTCAAAGTGCAATTAGCAGTGTTCTTTTATTTTTCATTTTTTTAATCTGATAATTTTATTGGAATCAAAGATGAGTTGACTCAGGCATGATGTCTCATGCTTGTAGTCCCTGTATTCAAGAGGCCAAGGCAGGAGGATTACTGTGAGTTAAGGCTAACCTGGGCAATATACTGAGTTCTAGGCAAACCTGAAGCCTTGTCTCAAAAATGTTTCTCCCAGAAAAGGTGAGTTGGGATGAACTAAATTTCTACTAGACCACTCTGCCAGATACTGTGCTACTATGATTCTCACTACAAGTTTGCAGCCCTCGTGAGCCAAATGGATTTTTATGTGTTTGTTTTTTTTGTTTGTTTTTAATGATTTGAAGCAGAAGTCTCATTTTCTGTCTTAGAATATTATTTCAGATGTATAAATGGTAGAAATACTAAATATATACTTTAATAACAAAAAATTAGCCAGTTTTGGGAGGCATTGTTTTATATGCCATCATGTCCTGGGGATATTTTTCAGGCTGAAAAAAAAACCAAAAAATATTATTTCCTATTCCTCTGTTTCTCTGTGCTTTATTTTTCTTCCTTTTTCAGTGCTAAAAGTTGTATCTTATCTAAACCCCACTTTTTCTCCTTCTCCTCCTCATCTTCCTCCTCCCTTTTCCTCTTCTTCCTCTTTTTCCTCCTTTTCTTATTCTTTACTGTTAAGCTGAGTTTGGCTCAGCTATCCAGGCTGTCCTGTTGCTCACCTTGGTATCCCAGGCAGGCCTTAACCGTTAACTGTGATCCTCTTGTCCTCCTTGAGAGCCACAGTCAGGAGCTGCCTGGTTTTCTTCTGTTTTTTGTCAACAGTATTTACAGATTAGACACTTGTGTTGGAACCATCTTTATGACGTTTTGGCTTAGTAAAATGTTAATAGCAGACAACAGAATATGGAAATCATATATCATATGTTTAATTTATCATCCAGGAAAAAGAAGTGTTGTGTCTTTTAAATAAATTTCATTCAAAAATAGGTTATAGATTACTGTTCTGACACATGGCTCATTCTTGTTTTCACTGGGGTTTGTGTATGTGTGATACATGCACATGTGTGTGTACATGCACATATAGGCCAGAAGAGGCGATCGGTTTTCATTCTCTGTCTGACTTTTTTTGGGATAGATTCTCTCACTGATCCTGGAGCTAGACTGGCAATTATAAGCTCCGGCAACTCTCCTGTCTCCATGCCCCTCAGTGTCAGGATTATTATGCAACCACACCCAGTTTTTATGTGAATTCTAGGGATTTGGCCCCAGGTCCTGTATATCTGAGCCATCTCTGCAGTACTTAACTGTATTTTAAAGAATGTGATGTAGTACCATCCATGGGATATGTATGTTTTTCTTATAGGTGCTGAAAGGGCATGATGATCATGTGATCACGTGCCTACAGTTTTGTGGTAACCGCATAGTTAGTGGTTCTGATGACAACACTTTAAAAGTTTGGTCAGCAGTCACGGGCAAGGTAAGTCCACTTCTTTCCATTCCTCAGGGAGTCACCATTTTGTGTGTGCAGTCACAGTAAAAGGGGTGTTGTGATCCCAACTATTTTAATAACAAATATCAGGCCTCCATTAGAAACACGTACCTTCTTATGGTTATGAATGCCGCCTTGGCATGCTGGGAGCAGTAGTGTTTTCTTCATTTAAATAGCTTGCTGTCTTTGTCACTTAGGTGGTCTAAGATACCTGAGGTGCACAACCCCATTTCTTTACCTCAGTACCTTTCACCTTGCACATGTGAGCTAGAATCACTGCTTCCTAATGCCTTCCAAAACATGACTGAGAGATTTGTAATTTTCCTTATAAACTGTTTTGTTGCTGAGCTTTCTATAATTTAGAAATCAAGTAAATCCTGTTAAAGTTATCTCCAACATTAATGAAGCAGGGTGGAGGAGTCAATCAGTTCACGCAGTGGCTGTACCTCATGTACCATATACCATTCCTTAACGAGTCTTTAGTGAATATTGACTTTATCTGTCCAAAAGAGAACATTTTCATGAATTAAGTAATTGATCATTTAAAAAATAACGGAAGAAAGTATGTGAAAAGCTTATGTTTTTTTTAAAATATTTTTTGCTATGTTGTTCTTTGGACAAGAATTTTACAAATACTCAACTCAGATGTTAAGATGTTCAAAGCAGCTACATGTTTCCAGGGTGTAATATTAGTTTCGGGTTTATCTCAGGGTTTCAGCGGCTGTCTTTACATGTCTAGAAGTAGCATAGGCAGTCCTAACTACTGCCTTCAGGCAGACGGGGTGAGCTGTGGTATGTGGCCACACCCTGCATTCTTGCCTTGGTTCTCTTCTGTGGGAGACACCCTCTGCAGCTTGAGCACTGTTTAACCCTGCGGCCAGGCCAGACTAGAGCTGTTGAACTTGCTTGCATTATATTTGCTTTCTGGCATGTCTTATGCTTTGTATCATATGATTCTTTTTAAATTTTACTTCATTTTATTATATGCATAAGTGTTTACTTATGTGTATACCTGTGCACCACATGCTTGCCAGGTGCCTCTGAGACCAGAACTGAGTGTCAGATCCCTGAGCACTAGAGTTACAGGTGCTTGTGAAGTATCATGTGGATGCTGGAAATCCAACCCAGGTCCATGAAAGAGCAGCCAGTGCTCTAAACCACTGAGCCATCTCTCCAGCCCTCTCATATGAATCTTATGTTTTATACCATGTTTCCTTTCTCCATACTTGTTCCTCAGTCATGTATCCCTGTATAAGCATATTCTGATGGTGTCATTGTAGCATTAATATGCAAAAAATACTTTACTAGTGCTGAAATAAAGTTGAATAAGTAAAATTTATTCCAGATTTTAATGAGATGTTTAGTGTAGTTTTTGACTTGCTTGCATTTCTACCTAAAATTAATCATCTGAAGTGTTTTTCCAGTGTCTGAGGACGTTAGTGGGACATACAGGTGGAGTGTGGTCATCACAGATGAGAGATAATATTATCATCAGTGGATCGACTGACCGGACTCTCAAAGTGTGGAATGCTGAGACTGGAGAGTGTATACACACTTTATATGGGCACACTTCCACTGTACGGTGTATGCATCTCCATGAAAAAAGGTAAAGGACATACCATTAGGATTGGGGCTCACACTACTGTTCCTTGTGAACTTGGATTCATAGAGTGCTAATGGGCTCTTCAAGTGGACACTAAGGATAGAGTGTAGGCGGTCCTAAATTAAGACAGGATATATTAGCTTAAAGTGGAGGATAATCCTTAAATTTCCTTCTTCATTTGATGTATGGTTAGTTTTCTTCAAACTCTACTCTCTAATCTGTTTTGATGTTTTGATGATTCATCATCTTTAAACAAAAATCATTTTCTTTCTTGATTTTCATATTTATGCTGTGCAAGAACAACAAAGTCAGTTGCTGGGACTTGTAGCCTGAGTCCTTGAGTGGCACACCCACTTTGCCCCCATTCCATCACATGCCTGCATGAGGCAGGCTGCAGTCCACTGCCTTAGCTTACTCACAGTGCTAGTCATCTGATCTTCAGAGCCCTCAGATGTGGGGTCCTTTTGCCTTTGCACAGCTGACAGAACCCTCATTTCAGAATGGTGTTGCTCCCCTACTGCCCACCAAATGAAGGAGAACTTTCAGTCCTGTTTTCAAAGTGGTCTCAGCCAAGCCTGCCTGTTTGTCACATGCTGCTAATCTTTGTACTGAAGAGTTAGAGACAGGCAGATCCTTGAGTCTACAGCTTTTGGAGGAGACCCTTCCTCTGAAAGAATGTATCTTAGAAGGGTCCATATGTAGAATCCACATTCATGACCTACTGCTCTGTCCATACTGCTTTTTATTAAGAACCATTGCTGTAAATTGACTTTACCTACAGCCACGATTGTACTGGGCACTCCTCTCACTCATAAATTTGAGCCTGCTTTGCACAGTGTGTTCTATGATTAAAATGTAGGGATGGGTTTCAAAGGACATCACATTTCTGGTTTTTGTTGTGTTCGTTCTCCCACACTTCAACATTCCACTCTTTCAAATGTAGAGTGGCTTTTATCTCTTGGGAATGACGAAAAGGTGCCTGGGTTAGTAATCCAGAGGTAACTGCATGATTGGCTCACTCTGGTTTTCAGAAGAGTATAATTTTGTAGAACTGGGACAGGGTCTTTAGGCGTTTCTTTACTGCTATAGGAATATCTGTATAAGAATCTGTGAGTCACCAGCTGTGAGCATGCATCTGAAACTGATGTTCTCTCAATGTGAAGCATAAGGAAACAACCATGGCTTTCTGAGTCCCAAATTCATTTTAAAATTCTGTTTTGTTGAGAAATAATTGTATTGAAAATTTTACTTAAATAGGTAATAGGAGTTTGTAACTGCAGTGTAATGAAATGACAAGATCATAAAGAAGGAAAGTTCTGGATTGTTGAACGTTCATACCACCTAAAGGTGCATTGAGGATTTATGCATGTGCTACATTTCCATTTTACTGCTAATCGAGCGAGATCTTCTTGTATGTATGGAGAGCTGCTTGTTTCTTGAATGCAGTGCTTTCCAAACTGTCATGGAACCTTGAGGTGGAACCAAGGTTCATGTCAGGGAACCAACCAGATGACTAGTTGAGCTTCAGGTCTTCCTCATTTCCTATTCCAGGCAAAGGAACTAGAATTTGCATTTGAAGGCATTAGGTAGAGTTTCTCGAAAGAGGATTTCTGTTTAAGAAAAGAGGAGAGAGCAACTGTTTTACCTGTCCTGTGCATTCATCTCCTAACTCTTGTGTTCTATTCTGCTCTGCAGGGTTGTGAGCGGTTCTCGAGATGCCACTCTCAGGGTTTGGGATATTGAGACTGGCCAGTGTTTACACGTCTTGATGGGTCACGTAGCAGCAGTCCGTTGTGTTCAGTATGATGGCAGGAGGGTTGTTAGTGGAGCATATGATTTCATGGTGAAGGTTTGGGATCCAGAGACTGAGACCTGTCTGCATACATTACAGGGACACACTAATAGAGTCTATTCATTACAGGTAAGAAACAGTGTCTCTCCCACCCTTCGAATTTCTGCTGGTGACTCATAAGATTGTTCTCAGACAGTTACTGTCAAGTGGCTGTTTATATGTACCTTAAAATTAGCATGAAGAAACACAAATTTCAAAATTATTTAACTGATTTAATGATTTCAATTTCTGTGATCCATTTTCTCTTTAAAATCAAATATTTGTCTTGGAACCTGATACTTCAGGATTATAAAATTTTGCTTTATTAATTAATACTTAGATAGTCTCATAGGAAAATAACTTGGATTTTAATAAACTCCTTAGCTGAGGATTAATTTGGCCAAAAGCTGCCCCTTTGCCTTGATAGCTAAAAGTTGATGGAGCACGTGATTGTGACCTCACCTCCATTTGAAGTAGCTTCAGCCTTTCTGCAGAAAGCTCTGTACCGTCTTGCCCAGGGCCACTGACTGGAGCCACAGAGAGATGACTTTGACCAACCTGTTGTTTTCCTTTAGATTTTAACTTGATATTTATTAATAGATTGTAATATTTCAAGATCTTCAGTAACTAGACATAAAACGTGGGTTACTTTTATTTCTGGAAATGCAGCATTTTCCATCTTAAAATATTTCCTGTTACATAATTTCCTACTACTGCCTGCTAGTGATGAGCAAAGTAGAATAGAATCCCAGTGCTGACGTTGCTCTTCTTAGGGCATTTGATTCTTAATTGATGATACTGCCCAAGTAATGAAGTATTGATATATGATAAAGATGTTGATTACTTCAGAAAAGATGATGGCCTCCAAGGGGAGGGAATTAGTTGCTAATGTTGCTGCTTGTGATGTGCTCAGAACCATAGAGAATGAACTCAGAATAGATAGCTGTGCGTTATATATACCTTCTGGGGACTGGTAGATGCTTATTGGTAGTGTCCTTGGGAAGCTGAAGAAGAAAGGCTACATAGCTTGCTTTTGTTACTAAAATGCCTCCTCTTCTAATTCCTGATACAGTTTTCTTTTGGGATATTTGCTAATTAGCATTAATTTCTTGCCAAACAACTTCATTTTATAAACACTTTTTAATGGAATTTACTGTTGAACATCATGAAAGTTATCTGTGGCTATTCCCTTGCCTTGGGTGCTGATAAGCATGTCTTTTGTCTCGGGCTCTGGCTTTGGTTTTCTATAGGCAAGTCAGACTCTACAGTCTTACTAAACACATGGGATGTAGCTTCTGCTGGGACCAGGTAATCTGAAAGTAATATTGTTTATTTCAGATGCTTTGTTGCCTTTTTGAAGTGGTTTCTGCCTTGTTTGAACTATTAGGCTGTTTTGTTTTATTTCTTTTTTAACTTTAAGAGAATTTCTGAAAGAAGCATTTTGGAGACATGCTCTACAGACTCACATGGCATGCACATCAGCTCACCTGCAAGTTTATCCCAGTATGCTTTGTGCTGGCCTATGTGTTGCCTGTACCCCTCTCCCCACTGTGAGTAAGGCCAACAGCTGACAGGATGGGGGTCTGTGTTTCTGTTCTAATACTCTGTGTCTGTTGTAGTTTGACGGCATCCATGTGGTGAGTGGATCTCTTGATACATCAATCCGAGTCTGGGATGTGGAGACAGGGAATTGTATTCACACGCTAACAGGACACCAGTCATTAACAAGTGGAATGGAACTCAAAGACAATATTCTTGTCTCTGGGAATGCAGATTCTACAGTTAAAATCTGGGATATCAAAACAGGACAGTGTTTACAAACATTACAAGGTAAGTTCTGGCCCTCCATTAGCCATGTCTTTAAAAGTGCCATTGCTATTCAAGAGAGAACCTGTGAAGAACAGAAAGAGATTTAACCTTCTACAGAGTACTTACTCCTGATGAGTTTATGAATGTTTGGCTTTCAAAAGTAGGCCACCTTGAGAAATGTTTTCAATTGTAGCTTTAATGTGAAAATTCTTAATCATTTTTTGCATGTTCAGTTGACTCTGTTTTTAACCTTAACAATGAGAAGAAAGACTTGGCTGTCTCACAGAGCAGCCCGTTTTTTCTTTTTTTGAGTGATCATTTTATTTTGAATTGAAGCATCTCTGATAGGAAATTACTTTGATCTCGATTACTCAACTCCTTCATTTGGAATGGAAGGAATAATGGCGCTCTCTGAGGTAAAGGTTCAAGTGAGAAGCATTGGCATTAGGAAGTATAGCACCATTGGTTTCTCCATGGATAACTTTCTTCTTTACAGCCCTTAGAAGGTGTTATTGTTATTTGTTTGTTTGGAGTGAGGCCATCAGGAGGCAGCACAGGGCAGCCTTTGCTCATTAATTGTAACTGTTCCTAGGAGTTTGGGGTAGTTACAAGTTCTGTTTCCTTCTTTGGTCAGTTCAGAGTGGTGGAATGATAAACCTGTATGTTCCTTTTCCCAGCAGTGGGACATGTGGGCTGGCTGACCAGGGTTCCTGGGAGCCTGAGCTCTTGAGACTTGGTACTGTAGTTACAAATAGCTACCAGGTTTTCTTATATCTAATCTGGTCCTAAACTACAACAAGGTTTCGAAATGTGCAGCTTTTTAAGTTCTTGTATGTTCTAATGTAGAAGAGCACATGGCCCATGCAAATGCCCGAGCATTGCTCCTAAGCAGTAACTACCCTTTGCCTCTGCCTAGGTCCCAGCAAGCATCAGAGTGCTGTGACCTGCTTACAGTTCAACAAGAACTTTGTAATTACCAGCTCAGACGATGGAACGGTAAAACTCTGGGACTTGAAAACGGGTGAATTTATCCGAAACCTAGTCACGTTGGAGAGTGGGGGGAGCGGGGGCGTTGTGTGGAGGATCAGGGCCTCAAACACAAAGCTAGTGTGTGCAGTTGGGAGTCGGAACGGGACTGAAGAAACCAAGCTGCTGGTGCTGGACTTCGATGTGGACATGAAATGAGAAGCAAAGAGATGAATTTTGTCCAACTGTGTAGACAATATACTTCCTGCCCTTTCCCCTGCGCAAAAAGCAAAAACAAACAAACAAAAAATGAAAAAAAAACAGAAAAAAAAGAGAAAAAAGAAAAGGAAAAAAAATCCCTTGTACTCAGTGGTGCAGGATGCTGGCTTGGGACAACAGACTGAAGAGACCTACAGACTAAGACGGTAAGAAAAGACAAGAGACCGTAACTGACAGCAGGCGGCAGCTGCCGCATCACGCGAAGGCCTCACTTCTGACTGAGGGGCAGCTTGGCGAAATGAGACTCTCTAAATCCAACCAGGTGCAATTATTCTTTATTTTCTTCTCCAGTGGTCATTGGGCAGAGCTACATCGGCGTTGTTTCCGTCACCTAGAAAGGAGTGGCAATAATATCCAAACACAGGCTGGTTATCTTCTAATCAGATCTTCAACAAAAAGTCGTTTTTCTGAAGTGGAAAAGCTAAAAAAATTTTTTTTTTACTGTGAATTGTTTTTGTACAGTTATCATGAAGCTTTCTTTTTTTTTTTTTTCTGTTTTCTTCTTCTTCTTTTTTTTTGCCAACCATTGCCAATGTCAATCAATCACAGTATTAGCCTCTGTTAATCTATTTACTGTTGCTTCTATATACACTCTTCAATGCATATGTTGCTCAAAGGTGGCAAGTTGTCCTGGGTTCTGTGAGTCCTGAGATGGATTTAATTCTGGATGCTGGTGCTAGAAGTAGGTCTTCAAATACGGGATCGTTGTCCCACCCCTGTACTGTACTCCCAGTGGCCAAACTTATTTATGCTGCTAAATGAAAGAAAGAAAAAGCAAATTATTTTTTTTTTTATTTTTTTTCTGCTGTGACGTTTTAGTCCCAGACTGAATTCCAAATTTGCTCTAGTTTGGTTACAGAAAAAAAGACTTTTTTGCCACTGAAACTTGAGCCATCTGTGCCTCTAAGAGGCTGAGAATGGAAAAGTTTCAGATAATAAAGAGTGAAGTTTGCCTGCAAATAAAGAATCGAGAGTGTGTGCAAAGCTTATTTTCTTTTATCTGGGCAAAAATTAAAACACATTCCTTGGGACAGAGCCTGAGGTGCCTGTTCTGTGGAGAAACTTCTTTTTGAGGGCTGTGGTGAATGGATGAACATACATAGTAAAACTGACAAGATATTTTAAAGATATATATAATACAAAATAAAAGGAAGTTGCTGGTCAGTCGTAGCATCTTACAGTATTTGGGAAAACAACTGTTACAGTTTCATTGCTCTGAGTGACTGACGTGAGAGGAATTCGCTCTGCAGTGGCGCTCCCTGTCACTTGCCTCCCAGCGCAACGAGCGGGAGTCAGATGGTCCGCCTCATTCACCAGGAGCCGTAACTCAAGCTGAACTGTGAAAGTGGTTAACACTGTATCCTAGGCCGTCTTTTTTTCCTCCTCCTGTTTATTTTTTTGTTCGTTTTATTTATAGTCTGATTTAAAACAATCAGATTCAAGTTGGTTAATTTTAGTTATGTAACAACCTGACATGATGGAGGAAAACAACCTGTAAAGGGATTGTGTCTATGGTTTGATTCACTTAGAAATTTTATTTTCTTATAACTTAAGTGCAATAAAATGTGTTTTTTCATGTTATTATGCCTGTTTCTTCCACTAGATAAGACTGTTTCATTATAAGTATGTAGTATTTGTGTCTGATACTTTAAATAGTCAGGTTTTGGGTTTCTCAGCATCCCCTGCATTGGAACATAGAAACCAGTGCTTCTAAGCTCAACTAAGGCACTGCAAATGTCATCCCGAGCTGTCAGGAGGCCACTCTTTGCATTGGGTACATGAACATAAAAGCTGGTTTCTTTAGTCATAAAACTTGTGGTAACAACTAGAAGCCTTAGAATAATGAGCTCACTTTCAAATCCCATGTATCTAGTGCTCACCAAAGCAGTCGTGCTCATTCTTCTCTCAGGCTGCCCCAGCCCTGAGAAGTGGCCTCTGTCACCTTTGCCTAAGATGGACCAGAGAGCTGCAGCTCAGGCAGCTTGGGTAATGCCTCAGATGAAGCAGTGGGAGGGCAGTATTCAACCCTTGTTTCCAAAGGCTGAGTGCATGCTGCCTCTGATGAATTTCTAGCAAACTAAAACAGAGTTTGAGAGGGAAATGCCTTGTCTTGTTTCATTTTTGTTTGTTTGTTTGTTTGTTTGTTGTAGTATTTACTCTTCTGCTGTTACAGAGGCTGGAAAAGCACACATCTCTAATAATCTCAACAACCCAGGCCATAGGAAATAAATCTCAAACATGGAGTCTTTCCCTGTAGGGAATGAGGCTTTCTACTCTTTATTCACAGAGCCGCTGTCCTAGTTAGGGTTTCATTGCTGTGAAGAGACACCATGACCAAGGCAACTCTTATAAGGACAATATTTAACTGAGGCTGGCTTATAGGTTCAGAGGGTCAGTCCATTATCATCAAGTTGGAAGCATGGCAGCGTCTAGGCAGGCATGGTACAGGAGGAGCTGAGAGTTCTGTGTCTTCATCTAAGGCTTCTAGAAGACTGGCTCCCAAGCAACTAGGACAAGGGTCTTAAAGCCCACACCCACCTACTCCAACAAGGCCACATCTCCTAATGGTGCCACTCCTTGGGCCAAAAATATATAAACCATTACAGCCACGCTGCTGAAAGGCTAAATAGGATCACAGAGTCTGTCTTAAAGTGGACCCTGAGCATAAAGAGGCACTGTCTTACTATTCAGGGAACTCTTTTTGGTTCATTGGGCCTCAGCAAGCACACCATAAGAACTATAGGGCATGCAGTAGTGAAGACTGGAGGATTACATGACAGCCAGGCACAGTGCAGACTAGGTGAGCTGAGGCAGCTCAGAGAAGACCAGAGCACAGCCCAGAGCCACTGCAGCTGTTCATGTTGGTGGTGTTGGTCAACAAAAGTTAATTGGCTGATACAGTTCTTGGAATTAATATTTTCAAAGGGTCACATATATGATGCTACATGGTGGTGTAATTCAAGAAAACACCCACCTTTAAAACATGGCAGAAATTAAGAGTTCACTGGTTTTGCAGATAATCAAGCATTCCATTTCTAATAGTTACTAGATCTCTGGCCATTCCACTTCATCTGTCCTCACATTCAGATGTGGAAGATAGCATCTCCAAGGTTAACGTGAAGATTGGATGGAATGTTACAAAGCTCTCACAGGGCTACCAAGATGGCATGGTGCACAGGCTTGCTGCTCTTAGGTCTGTCCCCGGGATCCATGATGGAAGGAGAGAACCAACTCCCAAAAGTTGTTCTTTGGCTTCCACACCTGCACCATGGCATATGAGCAGCACACCTGCCCTCATCATGCACACACAAAAACAAGTTCAGTTCTGAAGAAAACAGACCAGGTCATTGAAATGTTCTGTATTTGGCAATTATTTTTACAGCTCATTCAGGTATATAATGAAAATGGCATAGGTATATCTGTAGAATTTGTATTTATATGTGTGTATTTACTCTAAGTCAAGTCACATAGATTCTGCAGTTTTTAAAAAAATATAATACAAACTAATATTGAGCACCTAACAATGATACTGTGTCTACTCAGGTATTAAGTGTTCTAGGAATGTATGATGCTTGAGGATGTATAGTGGCTTAGTTGGTAGAGTGCTTGACCACCATGCACAAAGCCCTGGGTTCAGTTCCTAGCACCGCATAAGCCAGCTATTACTATTGTGATTCCTGTAATCCCAACATTCAGAGAGTTGAGACAACAGTTATCTCTGGCAAGTTCTATTTTAGTTCGGGATATAAAAGACCCTGTGTCCAAAAAAAAAAAAAAAAAAAAAAAAAGGTGGATCTGTTCTAAAAGAGAACATGTTAGTCTTACTGTAAAGAAAGTAAGGAATTACTATAGTTTTAAGAAAAAAACTCAACAGTTGTACTCTTGCTGAATTTGCTGCTTTATGTAACTACATTTTTATAGCATTGTAGCAAAACCTAATGCTCTGATTAGGGTAGAGTAGTGACCAGGGCAGGTGTTCAGTGGATATTATCAGATGTGGCAAAGGACTGGGCTTTCAGTTCTTATTGAAATTGTTCATAATTTTGACTCCGAAGCCAGTTCAGTTGTCTTGGTACTTTCATTAACTTGCAGCAGCTAATGCCTATGTAAAAGCTACATGAATCTTCCAACCTATTTGTTTAATTTCCAACAAAGAAAGAAAGAAAGAAAGAAAGAAAGAAAGAAAGAAAGAAAGAAAGAAAGAAAGAAAGCAATTGACATCTAATTTTTTGTATCAGCTATTGTGGGCCATTTTCTCACTCCTCCCTCCAGGTTTATTATAATGTCTATTTCCTTGAATGGATTAGAGGATACAGTCAAACAGAAACAGGAGAAACCTCCTTGGAGCCTGTCTCCAGTGAATGCAGAGTTGTAGGCAGCTTCCAGACTAGACCTTTCTCCCTAAGGTAACCACCACACCTCATGAAATAAGGGTTCCAGAAGAGCAGAGCCTTCAGCCTGCCCAGCTACCTTGCCCTGAGACTTGTGTTCCAGAAACATGAGGCCCTGCTGCTTGCTTATTGGGACAGATGTGTACTGCCCTCCCTTCCCCTCTGGTTCCTTCTTTAGGAAAATAGAAAGGTTTGAAGTCTCAGTCTGCCTCCACATGGCTTTGTTTTCCTTGTTAGGCCTGCCTCATCCCCATTAAAGGTCTAGACTGCAGCCTGTATTCTCTTGGGCTCCCCAGCCAAGGAAGGCTCTAACCTGCCATACCTTAGGGCTAGTTAGGAGAACATCCTGGCATCCAGTTCTGTAGGGCTGTGTAACTCTTAAGGGTGAAGTAGCTCTGTATTGCCAAAACATAAATGAATTAGAGTAACTGCTGCCGAGGCAGGTTGTTTTGGCATTTACTGCATCTTGAAGATGCACCTTTACATACACAAGCACCTTTCCATAAACAGAGACTACTGGAAACAGTTTCTTCTGTGTTGACATCCTAGCATTTCCTTGTTCCTTTTCCTCCTTCACCCACCAAGAGGAAAAAGAAGGGAGGAGGGGACAACAAACAAACAAACAAAAAACCAACAGGCTAGATGGCGCCTGTCTGTAATCCCAGCATTCAGGAGATATGAAGATCAGGAGATCGAGGCCTCATGAGACCTGCAAACAGTTGAAAGGGGGCTTAGTGACTAGTTAGACCCCCAGTGTTTTCCTCAGTGGATCACTGGCCACTGGATATGAGAGGTGGTTATGTATGTTCCCACACTGTTCCTGAACTCCTGCATTAAGTAACCATATGGCAATCTGAAGAGTTGGTACATAATTTTCATTTTGGCACTTTCTGCCACCCACAAGCTAGATCCTGTTAGATCCAGAGTGGCTGCACTCTTAGTCATTGCTTTGAATTGTAAACAAACATATCATGATCTGGCATTGTAACTAGCCAGCATGTCTCACTAGCCACTCAGTTAATACTAGTGAGGCCCACAGGAGTGACACTCCTGCCAACTGCCACCTCTTTCTAGGTGGATGAAGCAAAACAACAGAAAACTATCAAAAGGTAATTTGAAAGCTTCTTCTGGGGAAAGGGAAAGCACCAGAGCATACATACCTTTCCCCCAGTGAAGAAAAGTATAAAGGAATTCTAGATCAACTAGGAAGATTCGTTGCTGCATAGTCCTGGCAACTTCCCAATTTACAATTGAGTATAAAAATAGTGGTGTTTCTATTTCAGATCTGATTCTTCCCAGGATTCTGGAGGACAAGGAACCACTGAGTGGACATTTTGATGGCTCTCTCTTGAACATCTTAGGCCAAAACCTATTTCTGCTGTTTGTCTTTGGACTTTGTTTCACTTGGACAGCTGTGGTCTGCAAGAAAAAAAAAATTACTTTGAAGGGATTCTTGCAAACCAAAGGTCCCACTATAATGAGCCACAAGAACATTTTACCAATTTACTCTTTTTTCCCCAAGAGGTTCACAGCTTACAAAAGAAACCACAAAGCACTCTTCAGTACGCGGGTGCTAGCAAGACTTAGATTCATCTTGCAGCCCATAAGACTTCATCAAACCCTCCTTACACCATACTAAGTAGTAATCAGGAAAGGTGAGCTTGTCAATCTGATGACGCTCCTGATAAATTAAGGTGGTTAATTTAAACACACCAGAAAGGATCCAAAAAGGTAAGGGTGCAGCAGAGAGCACCTGTGTACAGCTTGGATGCAGATTTGGGAGAGCTGAAGCTTACTAACTTAAAAAAGACTTAGCAAAACTGGATCCAAAGTGAGCGCTTCGGGGATGTGGACCCCTTCCTTGTGAGATGTCTAGGAGGTGATTAGATTTGTGTATTAGAAACGCATCTCATTGCAGCATGGCATCTGCTCATAAGCAGGACTACAGCTCCCAGCAAGCCTTGCCTATTGGGAGTACTACAACTCCCAGCAACTCATTGCCCTTATGTAGCTTCTTCAGTTTCAAGGTGAATTGGCCAGTCTCTCAATTTCATCTGTAAGTGAGGTAATATGACAATATGACACAATGTAGGTCAAGTTAGTATAGGGCTTGACATTAAAGAGTAGTCATTAAAGAGTTGTAGTCATTACTGAATGAAAAAAAGAATAAAAGGAGGACATGATATACTA